CATGGTTACGGTTCACCTCTGTGGGGCGTCCAGCTCCCCTTGTATCCACTCCACCCAGGGCGGAGCCGGGAGCTGGCACCTCGCACGAGGCATGGTTCAGGTTCACCTCTGTGGGGCGTCCAGCTCCCCTTGTATCCACTCCACCCAGGGCAGAGCCGGGAGTTGGCACCTCGCACGAGGCATAGCTCAGGTTCACCTCTGTGGGGCGTCCAGCTCCCCTTGTATCCACTCCACCCAGAGGCGGAGCCGGGAGCCAGCACCACGCACGAGGCCTGCACGTGATCGTATATCAGCTTAACCCAAAGCTCATTCACCAATGGCGTCCAGGCCGGATCTTTGAGGTTCCCCGTTTCCAGGGCGGCAGTATCAGCCCTCCGAAGAAGGCCCACTCTACCACAACCACCTCAGGTGAAGAGCTATTGGGGGCGACAATGGCGTCTCTAGCGCGCACTTCCTCCGGAGAGGTCATGCACACCATTGCCTTGAACTTTCAAACAATAGACGTTTGTTCTTTTAGATGGCGTCAATGTCGTGATCATTGAGGTTTCCTGAATACCAGGTACCGGGCTTACACGAGGTGCAAACCCCTAACCACCATCACCGTCAATTTCTTTAAGTTGCAGCTTTGTTGGAGGAAAGAAATTACCATTGGCTGAGTACAAAACCTCCAACAGTTGGTTGCACATGCACCTGAATGCACATGCACTTTCAAACAATAGAAGTGTTTCTTTTAAATGGCGTCCTAGCGTGATCATTAAGGTTTCCTGAAGACCAGGTACCGGGTAAGCACGCTTTACAGCTGTGCAAACCCATAACCACCATTATTGAATTTTAGCCTGCTGGCCTAAAGCCGTTGCCTTCCGCTCGAGGCCGCGTCTACCCGAAGGAGACGCGGTCTCCTTCACATCTAGCCACAGCTGAGCCAACATCGACGGGCGGTGTGTACAGGAGGCAGAGACGTGTTCGGCTCATCTTGGTTGGGTGAGCCTACTAGAAGCCTATTGGCCGGATGCGTTCGACCAGGCAACTGTGTGCCTCCCCGTCAATTTCCTTAAGTTTCAGCTTGGTTGGAGGAAGGACAATTACCGCGGCTGCTCTTTCCAATCCTCCAACACCTTCAGTAATACTCAGTCTGAGATGTACTGACTGCTTGCCCCGACGGTCACGAAGTGGCCGCACCATAGCCGGTAAGTCAGTACCAGTAATCAGCATCAGCTACATGTCCCCGGCGACCACAGAGTGGCCGATGATGTCCTCCGGTAAGACCGACGCTGAGAACCTCTAACTCTCGCACATGCTTCCGACATGCATGGCTTAATCATTAAACTGAGCATATAGGTCAGACAGAATCAATCACGTTCAAAGGGTATTATGCCACCCTTAGGCACGCATAGGTCCTATAGCCTATGCTATTACACTCTTACATTTTCGCAAAGCTCCAACATTTTCAAATATTGGCAAAATCAAATCTGCACATAACGATACCCATTTTATTCATTTGTGAACGTGAACACCTCGTAAAAACTCGTTCATCGATAAAGTTTCCATCCCTCTCTCAAAGCGCCCGTTCCTCTCCAGTCTGTCCAATCGATCACGCAGTTCTTGTAGTCCATTGTCCAGATCCATTCCAGCGATTTCGGCGAGGTCCTCCTTGACGAAGGACACGCGGCCATTACTGAAATTAAGAGTAAAGTATCTGAGGTATAGCTGGAATACAGCCCACTCACTTACTTTACGTGGACAACACTGAAAAATTTTTTTGGCATCGCAGAAAACTAGCTTTCTTCTATCACCCGCGGGCGGCCATACCTGTAATTAATGCTTCATTAACTTGGCGACTGGTTTTGGCACGCCAAACGACAATACGGCTTGGTCACAAGCATTCACAGTAAGTTCCCGAGCAAGAGAAACAAAGAAAACCGAGAAGCGATTTGACTGTGTCGACGTGCGTAGCGCACCGACTAAGATATGCAGTAAGATTGAAGATATCCAACACGTAAAAAATAGGGCCAGCCCACTCACTTTATATGAAGCCACATTGAAAAAACTTCTTTGCTTCTCTTCTTCTTCTGTTTGAAAACTTCCTTTCAAAAAACTGAAAACTCCAAAATGACGACTGCGATCGACAAACATGTTTGATACAGCTCACAAACAAGAGAGACTCAAGAAAGCGATTTCGAGAGATTTCGAGGGACGACGTCGACGTGGCGCACCGACAAACATATGTAGACAGTGTTAGCACTATCCAACAAGTTAAAATGGGGGGAACCATTTACAGCTAACAGAGGCTAACCAATGCCTAATCCCATAGCCAATCTTGTCATAACGATACCCATTTCTTAATTACATTTGTTGAACGATTGTGAATCGTCGCGAAAAGAGCGCTTCATTCGAATGGTATGGATCAACTGCTGTAACTCTTAACGACTTCTTTACCATCAACTGCTGTAGGTCGCGGCATCGATCTCTCTATCCGCCACATTCGCCAAGATCAGCGCTGCGGTGGCGCTCTCCATTTCCTGCAAACCACGAATTGCTCTTCCCAATTTTGCTCTCATCCTTCTCCTGGCATTGGGGAACGGGCTTTATTATGGCTCTCATCGCGGAGCATCAGACCTTTTTTCCAGCTCCAGTCCCTTGACTGTGGTTTCGCCAGACAGTAGTTAGGGACAATGGGAATCTCGTAAATCCATTCATGTACGTCAGGTTTTGCTGACTACCCTCCCACCACAACCCACTGAGCCGTTTCCACTAGTCTACTCTGGAGACTTGGAATCCTCTACGACCGCACTTAGCCGCAGATCCGACCCGTTTACTGATACGGCTTTCGCCGCGCATGAATGAAAAGGGGCATCGGCCCCCCTTTTTACGAGATCAGGTAAACCTGTCCCTTGCAATGCCTTCATGTCCTTCAGGACACCTGGCTTAGACTGCCTCATGTGACATGTGCAGAATGGGGTATTCAACCCTTTCCAGGGCATAGACACTTATGTGTTTATGCCCCATCTACATGCCTAGATGTCCTCATTGGACAAGTGGCATTTTATTATTCTATTAGTACCAAGCACTGCGCACCTTTGCATCTTCTCCATAACAGCTTTCACGCCATCAGGCAGCTTCAGCTGTCGGACGTACTGACGCAAATTAGGAGAGCATTCACCGCAAGCCCCGACTACGAGAGGCACGATCTCAACTCTCATTCTGTGCTGTGCTTGCAAAGCAGCTTTTAAGTTCGGGCCGGGGAAGAACTCATCCGGTCCGGTCTCCTCCGGGAGACAGCTGTTCATTCCGTATTTACGGAACTTCTTCAGCTCTTGTTGAGCTATTCTTGTGAACCACGAGACCGAAATCTCAATGATCCATATTACTCTTTTCTTTCAGGTCTCTGACCACTATGTCAGGCCTGTCATGCCTCAGGTTCTCCCTGGTCAGAATACGGTCGTTCCAGTGCAATATCACCTGATTTCCTTCCACTACATGTGGCTCGTGGGTGTTTGTCACTTGGGAATCAAGACCGTACTTCTTTTTCAGGGAGTAATAGATAACCCTGGCAACATCATCATGTCTTTCCAACATGATGTTAGTCCGCCAATGATTACAGACAGATACAATATGTTCTGCTGTCTCTTTGGCGTTGCAACGCATTCGGCACAGCTGATTGCTGTTCGCCCATATAGATTGGCCCGAAGCGCTGCCTTTTGTAGGGAGGGAAGCCTCCTGAGCAGCCCAAACATTTCGTAAGACTTCTGAGGACACCCATCCGACCTGTGACCACAGGAACGAATCCTTGTGACAGACGTATGGGCGCTCATCCGCCTCGTTGTTACTTATCACTCTGCTCGCTACTTCTCTTTGCTTCCATTCATGTCATTCGCGTTCGAGCCCATCGCTCATGAGCAAGGCTCGAGATCGCACGAGCAGCACTAGTGGCCGTCGTGAATATGCGTTCTTTGACTTGAATGGAACCTTGAGCTAAGCGAGCTATGTCGTTTTCCAACCTGTTCTCCGCCATGACGGAGTTAAAGTCGGAAACTAGTGATCGCTTGCTGCTGCTTCGGAGACTCTCACATAGGTGATAAGGAACTTGGAAGTCCGGGTGCGAAGCAAGGTAACACCATGTGTAAATGATGGTGTGTTCCATTTCCTCCTCCACAGACTTCAGCCCAAGTCCTCCCTCCTCTTTGCTCACATAGAGCCTTGCGACGCAACTGTGCCCAAACCGCATCCGCGATTCTGCAAGCAGTTTGCGTATTGTCTCATCAAACACTCTTGCTTGCTTTCTCATAGTGCCCAGTTTACCTTTTCCGTAAATGATGCACGAGAAGGCATATTTCAATTTCGGGATCACCACTTGATTATACCCGTTGACCTTTTGGCGAACCGTGAGGTCGCTGAGCATAATCCGCCGTGCTGTTTCAACGGCTTTTTCTCGTACTCGAGACCACAGGTGATCCATGCTTACAAGAGTGTTCTGTTCCGCTCCCAAGTACTTGTAGAGCGAGTTCGACCCAAGGACTGGTATATCCTCCAATCCTGCTGTCATAATTTGCGGCTGGGGCATGTGCAAAGAATGCACGGCACACTTGCTGGGATTCATTCTTAATCCCAGCTCACCAGCCACTCGTTGTATGCCCTCCTGGGCTTTCACAATATCATCCCAACGCGGCGAGTAAACCTTCAGGTCATCCATATAGAAGAGATGGTTGACCTCTAGAGGCCCTTCTGCCAACGATAACATCCCAGTAGATGTTCGATATGGGCTCACGTTGTTACGGAGCCAATACGAGATGGGGGTTATCGCTATACAGAATAGAAAGAGGGCTGAGGGTATCACCCTGCATCACTCCTCTTTTGACCTCCAACGGTTCACTTTTCACCAGTTTACCATTCTGGTAACCGCAATAGCGAACGCTTTGCTTTGTCATGATCACCGAGAGAAGCCTCCTTGTCAGAGACGACACCCCGGCTCTAGCCAAGATCCATTTAATGGCGTCATGGGACACCGAATCAAAGGCTTTTGTCATGTCCACCCACAGGGCGTGCAAAGCGTTCTTATGCCTCAGGGCATCCTTACAGACCGTCTGATCCAAAATATGGGCATGAGTGCAACCCCAGACCCCTTTACGCAAGGCAACCTGCTCCCGAGGGAGCACGTCTCCTGCGCATCGGAGAATCTGCTGTGCAATCATGGATGTTAAGATTTTATAGCATGTGTTCAAGCATGCTATAGGACGAAAGTCTCCAGGACCTCGACCCTGCGAACTTCCCTTTGGAATCAGAACGATCTTCCCTCGGCAAAGCCACTTTGGGATGATTCTACGCGGCATGCGTAGTGCATCTTGGCACCACGCTTTTAGCCTGTTTTTGGCTTCCGGTAGTTTCTTCCACCAGAAACCCTGAATTCCGTCTGGACCCGTAGCTTTCCAAGGTTTGACTTTGGCAAATATGCTCGCCCAGTCCTCCTCAGACAGGTCCATGGCAGCCCTGCTTTCGGCTCTTTGTTCGTTGCGAGCCCACGCTTTCAGGTCCTCAGAAGGATGGAATGGTTGCGGATCTCCAATGATGGATTTCCAGTGCTCACGCACTTCCGCAACAGGAACATCCGAGTCCCTTATTCGTGGTTCACCGGCAATAGCAGGGTAACCCCGCTGCCTCTCTCGCACCCGTTTTATAGCCGCTTCTTTAGCTTTTATATCAGAGTTAACAATATCCAGCTCGTCCTTGAACCTAACAGGAGTCGCTGTACCTCCGCGGTCTTTGTAACTCTGTGCAGCTTGGCGATCTCGAGGTACTGCTTCGTAGGAGCAGCTTTGTTTCCTCCTCTTCTTCTGTTGAGTTCATGCGAAAGAATTGCTATGATTCTCAAAAGAGAATTTCTCAGCTCTTTCGCTTCCCTCAGTTTCTGATGAGCTTTGCCCGCTTTTTCCGTTTCACCATCCAACAGGATCGTTGAAATGGCTCTTCCAACGGCATACACTGCAGCATTCAAAGCTGTCAGTGTTCTTTTATTAGTGGAGTTTCTACTTCCCAGCTTTTCGAGAAGGATCTCGTTGCCGAGTCGTAAAATGCCCTCAGGTATATCACCCCTGGGCCTCCTAATAGGTTGCCTGTCGCGCGTTCGTTTCGCGATTCGATAGTATTCTCTGAATCGCGCTCGCAGCTGAACTTCGAGAGTCTCACCAGGGTGGTCCGTTTCCGAACCCCCTTCTTGACTTGATGGAGTTTGTTCAGCAAGTGCTGCAGGCAACTCTTCTGATTGTCGCGTTTCCTGATCCGTCAGGACAGCGTCTGTAACAGCGGGTTCAGCTTCATCATCTTGGGCAATGCCCTCAGGAGGATTGCTATTCCTCGTACGATCAGTCTGCCGAGCCAATTTTGCATAAGCGCATTTCAAGGCTGCCTCTGATCTTTCCGGCTCATCGCCGCTTCGTGAATTGTCCCAGCTCAATTTGAGCTCGGGCCATTTGATGCGACCACTTGCCTCTCTGTGTCTCTCGACCAGATCCGCAAGCTTTGCTAGTTCGCTAGCACTCCAGAGAACACCCTTTCTGCGTTGAAGCCGTAGATTTTGAACTACGGGCTGTGTCACATTTTCAGGCAGTTGCCTGTTTCGTCTCGAAGATGCTTGACGCCGAGCCGATTGAGGCGGCTCTTCGCGTGTTTGGACTTCGGAGATCTCGACTGCATTTCCCACAATCGGGTGCTCATCGGGATCCGACTGTTCCAGTCCAGCTGCATCTTCGGGTTGTTCGTGACCCGCAGTGGGTGTTCCCTCTGTACGCTCGGAGGGTGTATCACAAGAGTCGGCATTCGCCGATCTCTCATTCGTTGGAACCTCGGAAGTCGATTCAGCGCCACCCAACAAGGTGTTGCTTTCACGACTTGTGTTCTTTGTTCTGCCTCTCCGGCGCACTCAATGCTTTGATCAGGTGAGCTCCTGTCGTGCCCAGCAGCTAGTTGGCAAGGGCTCGTATTTTCGAGCACCTCGCTCGGCTGAACATCGGTAGTCGCACTGACAACTAAGTCAGTGTCACGACTGGACACTTCATGTTCTGCCTCATCTGTGGGCATTTCTCGCGCCAACCGGTCAGGTCGCTTGACCAGCTTTGCGTATGCAGTTCTCAAGGATTCTCTACTCCTTGTAGGGTCTCCAGCGCTTCGTGAGTTTTCCCAGGCAGCCGCCAGGGTGTCCCACCGCACTCGACCAATGGCATCCTTATGCCTTTCAACTAATCTCGACAGCCTGTTCAGTTCGTCCTCGCTAAAGGGCGGACCTCTCATGCTAACAGGAGCAGGGTTGACATATGTTTGATTCGCCAACCTTCTCGAGGCAGCCCTCGTTACACGTGTGAACGACTGTCGATCTTCTGCGGCCTCGCCACCCAACTGTGGGCGACTACTAGGACCCTGAGGTCTTAGTTCAGCGGCCTGTTCAGGCTCTCGGCTGATCTCCGGCTCAGCCCTTAGCAGTGGTTCCTCTAGCTGGGAGGCACTTTGTGCCTCCGTCACACTAGAATCCTCGCCCCGTATACGCCCGGGGTTCTTGGCGAATCGACCATAAGCCCCTTTGAGGGCCTCAAGGGTCCTTGCTGGATCTTCGCGATCTTTAGTCTGGGTGTAGTCGTTCATAACGTCATCCCAGCAGACGCGGCCGGCGGTCACCCTTTGCCTCTCGACAAGGGCAACCAGCCTATCCAGCTCTCGCTTTGACCACGGAACGTTCTTACGACGATGGTTTACTTGGCTTTGAGCGCTTGGCTCGTTCAGCCCCATAGAAACGCTCCCGGTCGGAAGGTTGGGTTGCCCTTGGGAGGGCGTTAGCCCTAAAGAGGGCTGTTGGGTGGCCTGTCCTTCAGCCGAAGCTGAAGGCCGGCTCCTAGGACGGGCGCCTAAGGCGGAATCCGTCCTTAAGTTCGCTTTGATCGCATTCTGATCGCTGATTGCTTTTGGCCGCATTTCTGCGGACGAGAAACACCACGTGAAGGTAGCAATCGTGTCTCTCTTAGGTTACATCTTGGCCGCCGTATCCTATTTCAGATACGGTTCTGAGCTATCGCAATTAATAGCTCATCCGACCACAGAGTATAACCTCCCCGTACAGCACATTCAGATGGCCCAGGGGTCGTTTGGTTATATCACCATAGCGTATAACCATCCCGTACAGCACTTTGTGCCCAGGGATTGATAGAGCGAATGGCAGAGATTGTGTAGCAGTCAAGCTTACGTCCAACACACTTTCGCCACTTATACAGGACACAGACCCCCAGAGGACCTGCATGCAGATCATGGGGTGTACCTCAATACGGGTACTAAGTTAACTGTGCTGTGTTGAACTTCACTTGACACCTTCGTTATTGCGACGCTGACCGGTACGCACAGGGCAAGCCCATGCCGTACGGTTCCCATGGCTGCCCCATCGCATTCAAGGATGCTTTGCGGGGACTTACGGCAACCTGTCACCTGCACAACACGAAGTTGCTAGTGATGTTGTTAAAAGGTTCTCTGCTATCGCAGACAGTTTCGATAAAGCAGACTATAGCTTTCAAAGGCGTAAGAGCTAGTTGTTCCTCATTCAGTACTAGAGTTTCGAAAGCCGTGCAGGTTCCTCAAGCGAACTTTATTGTTCTGCAAGCATTCCCTGCCTTAGCTAGTTGTTAGTCACTCAGTACTTTACCATTCGAGAGCTCCGTAGGTTCATCCATACGAACTGTAACAGTTCTAGGAGCAATACGAGCTGATTGTTAATGGCACAGTAGCTGAGTATCGAAAGCAGTCGCAGGTTTACTTGTTCGAACATCCGAAGTTCGCAAGCATTCCCTGTATTCGCTTCACACTTATCGCTCAGTACCGAAGTATCGAAGGCTCTTATAGGGTTGCGCCTTGATAAGTCAATAGTCTGACATCTATATAAGACAACAGGACTTAGTTCCGAACAAGTGTCTCATGTTATCTTGTTACAGCCAAAGTCCAGATCATCGTGAAAGACGGTTTTGGTAAGACAGACCGTGGCTTAAAAGCCAGTTGTTCGTCATTCTGTACTAGAGTTTCAGAGCCTTACAGGTTTGCTTGAACGAACATTACTGCTTCTACAGGCATTCCCTGTATTCGCTTTGTACTAGTACTGAGTGGTCGAGAGCTCTTATAGAATTCTCCCGTGATGAAGACAATGGTCTGACATCCTATACAGGACGACAGGACTTAGTTCCGAACAAGTGTCTCGTGTTATCTTGTTACAGCCAAAGTCCAGATTGACGAGATTAAAACACGTCTTTCACGGGGTAAAAAAAATAACACAAGTATATATAGCAGTATATACAACTGCTATATAACAGTACACGTTGAACAAGTCAACAATCTTTTATTCATAATCAATCAACCAACATTACGGTACAACAGTTTTACTACTCATGTAGAGCAGTTACTTTCGCTTACGCTTCACAGCGCCTTCTCCCTCGTCACTGCTATCACTATCTGAAGTGATAACAGCAACCTCTTTGGGACCTTCTGCCTTCTCAGGCTTTACATTGAGTTTCCGTGATTCTTTCACGTTGCCTCGTTCCCTCTCGAGTCGATCCAGTCGACTCCGCAGTTCCTGGAGTGCCTCCACTCCGTCGTCACGCAATCCCAGCAGCTGCGCCATGTCTTCTCTGTTAAAGGAGACGCGCCCATTGCTGAAAGTAGATATGATTACTACTGGAGTTACAGCTACTACTGTAGCCTACTCACTTAATGTGAACT